GTGGCATAAAGCATTAATAATGGTGGTCAGGGGTGTGGTTTGAGGGCTTTAAAAGGAGAGCACATGAAAGTCTCTCCCTGCTCTGCCATTTTCTGCCTTGTGAGACCCCTGCATTGCTGTAAAACCACCACCAAAGAAGACACTCACCAGATGTACTCCCTGGACTTTGGACTTCCCAGCCTCTGAAATTATAAGCAATACATTTCATTTTTTTATAAATTACCCAGTTCCAGGTATTTTGCTATAAGCAACACAAAGAAACTAATACACTACCACATCAGGCTTCTTAGAGATGGCTATTTTTCTCCTTTTTCCACCCTTAATAACCATTAAATTAATTTCTGCATAAGTATTTCAGAATCACCATATTATTCATAGTGCCCTTAGAAGAAAATTAGCAGATATTCTGGGTTACCAGGTACAATATAGTATTTCATTCTCTTATCCCCCAAATCAGTAATCTTCAACTGGGTCTTGATGTCCTACCAGGAGGAAATTCAAACATTTCCCAGAAGAGCAGAAAGAAGAAAGATCCCAAAAGCTGACCAAAAACAAGCCAAGTTGATAAACTACAATCCATCTGGAAATGAATCAGGCCCACAACTCCTAGAGGCTAGACAACTACTAGTGGGAATTACAACGAATACCACTTATTTTCCCCCTCTCTATTTTATATCCTCCCAAATAACCTCAAGCTCCTATTTTTCTGACAAACTTCAATTCCAGAAGCCTGTAAAGAGAAGGCAAAATAATGAAATAGAGTATCATGTTACTGTCAGCAAAGGTGGATTTTTAATGGGAACTATCTTGGCAGGAAATAGGAAAAGAGTCTTCAGGTAAACCTAAAGAGACCTGTACTTTTAGCCATAAAAACACTAGAAAGTCCTGAAAATGTGTTATATACATTCAATTCAGCATTTCCCCTACTGCGAACTTGCAGACATTCTCAGCCAGAAGGAAGTCATCCTAGGCCATATCTGTTGTCTAAGAAAGTCTGATGCTCAACCCCTTGAAAAACTGTGGGCCTTGCCAGTCACCATTCACCTGGTTATCTGTGCCGAGTGACTTGGCAATCTTCCATCACCTTCATTTAAATATAATTATTATATAGGCCTTAAAAATTATGTGTCTACCTATCGGGCTGACTGAACCATTCTCTGGAAGGGAAGAAATGTCCTGTTTTACTTCTGGAACACACCTTAATTTTGATATGTGTGAAGTTCACTATAGATTAGGGATAAACTTCCTGCTCTAACATACTAAGCAAATTAGGACAAGCGTAGTAGAAATGAAAGGGACAAAAAGATAAAAAGAATGCTAGTAACAAAGGGATTCAGTGACTCACTGAGCTCAAGTAAAGGAAGAGTCAAAAATGACCAATAAGGGCTGGCCCGGTGGCGCACTGCTACAGTGCGCCGCTTGGGAAGCGCGGCGGCGCTCCCGCCGAGGGTTCGGATCCCACATACAGACCGGTTCCTGCTCACTGGCTGAGCGAGGTGCGGGCGTGACACCGAGGGTTGCGATCCCGTTGCCGGTCCCGGTCCGGTACGGGCGCGACACTGAGGGTTGCGATCCGTTGCCGGACACGAAAAAAGACAAAAAGGAAAAAAAAAATGACCAATAAGAATAATGGAATCATTAACAGCTAAAGGGGGAAATGAGGAAGAGAAGTGGTTTGGCTGAAGTGAGGGAAAGAGGGGATGTCGGTGTACGACTGCTACAAGAGATGGTATTTAAATATATTTTACCTCAAGATATAGATGAAAATTTAGACCTCAAGTTTAGACAGCTATATAGATTTGGGGCCTAAAAAGGGGTGGCAGTTAAAGCATTGCAATGATTGAGTTTTCAGAGAAAGAGAAGGTAACAGAAGAACATTTAGACAACTGCATTCTGCAGATACTATACTTTGAAGATAAACTAACTTTCCAGATGAATAGTACCTTATTCTACAGATATAAAGTGTTTGTACTAATTTATTCTAATGAAAAACTTAAAAATTCATGTTTCTTTCTTTTCCAGGCTATGAACTGGCAGAAAGAAACTCAAGACAAAAATAGTTTCATAATTGCCACTTGCACAAAATCAAATCTCTGACCTAAAACACACTGCTTTTTAAGTTTCTCTATTTATAACAAAAGTTTTGAAAAAAATTGGGAGAAAAATCAGGCACACCAATACTACCACTGTTTTATAACATCTGTGAGAATTTAACATTTTTAAAATGCACATTAACTAAAATGTTGACAATTAATGAGTCTGGGGAATGGGTACATGGAGGTTCATTATACTCTTCTCTCCAGTTCTGTGTGTGTGTGAAACATTCATAATAAAAAGTCTAAAGAGGGATGGCTACAGATATTTTTTAAATTCTATCTTCAGTAAAGACTGACAACACAAAATTCTAGCAGATAAATACTTCTCAAATAATGATTTCTTCATTCTCAATAGACCAATGAAATTTAATGTGTATAAAAGGGAGAAAAGCCTAGTCTGTTGTTTCAGAGGAACATAAACATGTTCATTAAATGGAAAAAGTTAGTCCTTTCATCCACGTTGATTGAGATTAGACCTGTCACTTTTCTGTCCAATGAACTTACATTTTTGTTGAAAAATATATAGGCCATATACATGTTTGATTTTGATTAGTAAAGGCAAAATAAATGTTTATCTCAAATATCAATGATTAATCTGTTGAAGTATATGGTTAGCCCTCCAGTTACTTCAAACATCTCCCACTCTAGTAAATAACCAAATAAAGAACTTTCTGATGTGGATGCAAAAAAGACAGATTTTAAAAAATGAACCAATATCCATAATTATAACTAATCCTAAATTGTAAAAACAGCATATTTAAAATTACATAAAGTAGGGCTGGCCCGGTGGCGCACTGGAGAGTGTGCCGCTTGGGAGCACGGCGGTGCTCCCGCCGTGGGTTCGGATCCCATGTGGAAACCGGTTCCCGCTCACTGGCTGAGCGCGGTGCAGGCGCAACACCGAGGGTTGTGATCCCGTTACCGGTCAGTAAAAAAAGACAAAAAGGAAAAAATAAATAAATAAATAAATAAAATAAAATAAAATTACATAAAGTAGTAAATAGAGGGGAAAAGTTAAATATTTTTTTAACAATTATCATTGTTTATGCTATGATTTAAACAGATTTAATTTAAATCAAATCACACTACTGAGGCTATGAGAATGCTTAAGTTAGTAGACAGCAGCAGCAGATTAACCACTTAGATTTACCACTTACTGACGATCAAGAATAGTTTACAAGATTTAGATGCATTAAACTTTTCTTCCTATGATAAAGAGCACTACCCAAAATGAAAAACAGATTTGTTTGCCTCCTCTTCTTTCTTTGGTAAATTCCACAACAATAAAGACTATATATACATGTCTGTGTGAAACATAGCACACTATAGGTGTGCAACTCTTTTAACAGGAATAATCACCACCCTCAATTCCCAGAAAGCAGTGCTAGGTATCAGTCTCATTCCCTAGGTGACATGCATAAGATAACAAAATAAAGCAGGGTTTCCTTGCTAGTGGTTCTACCTTGAATCATTTTCAGGATCCTATTTCTTCTAACAGAAACATGTTGTAATGAAACCTCAGTGAAAAGCTAAAAAAACCAAAATCAAAATATACATTCTTTTCCAATCTAAGAATAAACAGAAAATTGAAGATTTAATTAGTTGCCTAATCTAATATTTTAAGTTTTTCATGTTAAACTGATTAAAATGATGTTTTTAAAAGGAAAATCACCCCAAATTCCCATAACAAAAAAAATTAAAGATTCAGAAACATACTTGTTTTGTAAATGTTGCAAGACTACATAATATATAAGCTTATTGTTTTAAAGAAATAAAACAATTTATAAAGACCATCCTTGATTTTTTAAAAAAATCTCAAGCAGTCACAACTATTGACTAAAGAGTTCATCTTTCAGTGGTGAACTCTTATTAGCTATTAGCTAACTCTAGCTAGGTAAATAAGCAAAATGACCATTCAATGAAACACTGGCAAATTAGCATAATTAAATCAAAATTTGTAACTTTGTTCTTAAGAAGTTAAACTTATATCTCTGAAGTATAAATCATACCTAATTCGAATATCAAACAAGACACATTTAAAGAAAAAACTGAGTAAACGAAAGTGCTTCTCACAAATGAGTGTTATTTTAATAACCCTCATTTTAAAAATATATTTAAAAAATACATTATTTCTATGGAATCCCTGAATTGGTCAGGGCCATAACTGTAGACTGCTAAGCGGAGGTCAGTTGGGAGAGAGGTAATGGTAAGTGAAAGCATGACAGAGTAAAAATTTCCCACCAGAATAAGAATTTATTCAAGTCGTTCCTTGAATTTTGATTCAAATACCAAGAGAAGCCGCTACTATCATTCCCTAAAGTAAAAGAGGGGGACAGAACTCCCAAAGACTATTAAAAAATACTTAATCACAATTTGCCTTAAGTTTTCCCTTGTTTCCCCATCTAACAAAATGGGAGGACAATGAAAATAAGCAGCCCCGTCTAGCCCCTCAGAGAGGCAAAGAAAGCGACCATTCAATGCCAAGTCTTACTCCACTGGAAACATACTCCTGAAAAGTAAATCCAAAACCACGAGCTGAAACTGCTCCATGCAGAATTCACTGAATGGCGGCCAAGCTCTGTACACACTGTCCTGAGCTACGCTGAAGGCTATCTAGAGTTCTGCGTTCTCGGCTTACAACTTGTACCTCACCATGCTTTCGCCACCACTGCAGAAACCGATGCTTTAAATGCGACTGAAACGTTCCTCCTGGCTTGTTAATCGGAAAAAGGCAATCTAACGCCTTGATCCTCACATTACTTTTTAGCAATACTGGTTTTTGACTCATATACTGTCGCCGACACACCTTTTCAGACGCAAAGCGATAGTTAGAAGGTCCCAGGACTGAACTGAGTGAGGAACAACTTTTAACTGGCTTTCCTCTGGCTCTATAATACAGATCACCTGTTAGAACGGCGCTGCACGGACACCTTCAACAAGTGGCCGAGAGCGGCGATGCTGTTCCCAGTCATTCGTCCCAGGGCGGCAGGTGAAGGCGGTGAACGCCCATCCACACCCACCGGGCGGCCACCCCCGAGCGCGGCAGGCAGCGGCGGGGCGCT